GGGGGATTTGCCGGCTGCCCGCGCAACCCTCTGCGGAGATCGTGCGTGTCGAGTGCGCGAAATGCAGGCGAGAGTGCGATTTGACCTGTGCCCGCGCAACCGTCTGCGGAGATCGTGCGTGTCGAGTGCGCGAAATGCAGGCGAGAGTGCGATTGGGTCTGTGCGCGCGCAACCCTCTGCGGAGATCGTGCGTGTCGTGTGCGCGAAATGCAGGCAAGAGTGCGATTTGGCCTGTGCCCGCGCAACCCTCTGCGGAGATCATGCGCGTCGAGTGCGCGTCGAGTGCGCGAAAAGCAGGCGAGAGTGCGATTTGGCCCGCGAAATGCGGGCGAGAGTGCGAGTGGTGTGATGCGCGCGCAGCCCTCTGCGGAGATCGTGCCTGTCGCGCGCGGGAAATGCGGGCGAGAGTGCGATGTGTCCTGTACCCGTGCAACCCCCTGCGGAGATCGTGCGCGGCGAGTGCGCGAAACGCAGGCGAGAGTGCGATTTGACCGGTACCCGCGGAACCCTCGGCGGAGATCGTGCGTGTCGAGTGCGCGAAACACAAGAATGCGATTGGGTCTACACGCGGAGAACCCGCTGCGGAGATCGTGCGTGTCGAGTGCGCGTGCGCGAAAACATCTGCAGTGCCTGCTTTGTGTCACCTCATGCTACTTTGTCACGTTTTCTTTGAGACAGTCATTTAGTCAATGACAAGCATAGTGGTTGGTTAACTACATCCTAGAAAAGCTGTGTCCTGGAGTGAAGGAAACGTTACCTCTGATCGTATATCGATGGACGCATCTCCTCTGACAGGTCACTGCTTCGACAAACTTGTTGCGTACCTGCCTCGGCAATTTTCTATATTCATTCCAGCTCGTTTTTTTCAGTGAGATTTCCTGCAGCCGTGCACGCTGCTTCTGCCCTTACCAGCAGCTCAAATGCTCACGACGATGAGCTGGGCTGTCACCGCTTGGCCGCCGGTGGGGGTTTGGGAGGCCTGCGCGCTACTTCGTTCACTATATCTACAGTGAAGACCTTCACCAGCAGCAGACATGGACACACACACACAGACAGGGTCTCATACACACATATCACACAGAGAGATCCACGCACTGCCTCAACTTACTCGGACACACACACACAGAGACTCATATACACACGGACACAGATGCACACACACAGACCCACACACTACAACTCACTCGACTTAAACACTTCACACTGAACACTTAACAGATAACTCACACTTTGACTTTTCCTACGTGATGAAAAATGCTTTCGGGCCACTCGCCGTCTAGTTTCATTGTCTGCACTGTGCATTATATGTTTTTCCGTGCGGCCTTTCCGAAGGAAAGGATTTTTCAAGACGTGACCACAAACATATCGGACTTTCATTGAGGATGCTTGTTTCTCGCTACATTGACCCAAATAAAATGGATCTACGTGTTTGCCAGCCTTTGGTCCAAGAAGAACACAAAAGAATTCTGCCAAAGCCAGGGCTTATGCAGCTTATGAAGGAACACCTGAACTGGACATATAGACTAAGCAGCTCTTGCGAGAGAAGACAACACAATGATAATTATACTGCGCAGACTGCACATATTTCATGTACACGTGATAGGTTCACATGTTGATTACTGTAATGTTGCTGAAGTATTGTCCTAACGTTTTGCTTTCACAGTAAAACGTACCCAGTTTCAGCAGTTTGGGATTCCCGCTTCACTTGAGAGCACTGATGCCGAGCCCAGCAGCCCACCCAGACCTTTGACGTTGTGAGCCCGCCCTTGGATGGGAACGTTGACCCAGGTAGATGAGGTCGCTTTCGTGGCTCCAAGTGGCCTTCGGCCGGTGTTGTGACCTCAGCCATTGACTTCTGCATATCAATGCCACCAATTGACGGGTCTGAGTACCATAGAGTACGGAAGTCTGGGAATGTTTTCTTTGATATTTTTCTTGGTGTGTGTTGCTTCAAGTTTGTGGGCAGGTCGCCATCTTCGCTGGAGGACCGAAGTCTCCGAAGAAGACAGTTTGATGATTTGTCCGTTTCGACGGTTTGTTTTGGCCCCAAGAAATCGGACAGAACCCTATCCATCGGGTGAACCGTGCGGTGGAGTTAGAAGCTGAGTTCCTTTCTTTCGTGTCACAAGTGTCTGCGGGGACTCCAAGTCTTCCAGGTCTTCACCAGAAGAGCTGGCAGAAAGACTGGCCAAAGCTTTGCTTCCAGCGATGGAAAGCCGACTTGCACGCTTGGAGGCATCCGAGCGACCCAGTAGAACAACGCAAGAATGAGCGGCAAACAGAGAGAACGGCAGAGACATTTGGTGCTCACAGGCGACGGTTCAGCAGCTCCCTCGTGGAACCATTCAACGAGCTGAGTTATCTGAGGCAGGAGTCACTCATTTGCATCCTTTCCATGGGATTGTTGCTTCACAATTAATTATATTAAGCGAAGATGTATTTTTGGTTTGCAACATGACATGCGAGGGAACATGAAGATATGAGTCGGACATCATTGTAAGCACCAGTTTTAACTCCTCTAGTTGCAAGATTTAAAAGTGGCAACTGTCTTGCTCTGCATTTTCTTTGGTAGGCTGCAACACTCATTGCTGCCTCCGTATCATCTGCCATGCAAGAAAGGCCCATTATTCTTTCCTTCCAAACTTGGGCCAGTTGTTTTGGAGTGCTCAAACGACCAAGATGCTGATTGAAAGTCTTGAAGGTGTTCTCCTCTTATGCCCGATCCTGAGGTTGAACAGTCTGGAGGATCGAGTTGAAGCAATAGCAGCTGAAGCTTCAGCATCTTCCACTTTTCCATGGGCTTTTGAGGACCCGAGCGGATTGGGGACGTTTGGGGGATGTTTGGGGACGCATTGGGATGCTTGGGGAGCATTGACGAGATGAGGTGGGGTAGGCGCAATATATGTGCTCATTTCTGGCATGGGTAGAAGTGTTTCAAGACTGAAGCAACCAAAAATGAATGCTTCGTGGATTTTGAGTCCGTTTTTCCCCAAACAGCGTGGTCACAATTGGGATTCTTATGGTGAGCGTTAAAGCTGGGTTTGATCGAGGGTGCTCACCGCGTGGGCGACACTGCTCTCGTTGTGGCGCTGTGCACATTTTCGGATTTATGGCCACTTTTCGCGGCAGGCGCAGTAGAACCCCTCATGTCTGGTCTCAAGCTGAGACGTGGCGGGTGCAGGAGATCGGAGCGGTTGTGATTTGATGTGCAGATCTCGTGGCAGGCCCAGCACTTTGGACTTGGTGGTTGTTTTTGGTGACACCCCCATAGACAAGCACGGATATGAGAAAGGACAAAAATGAGAGCACACAAGCACACAAATGAGAACATGTATATATGTGGACAACACATGAGACCACACAATGGGAGTACAAGGCATGTATGAGAACACGCAAGTATGCGAGCACACACTCAAGATATTGCCTACTGAATTGAATGCCGCATGCCACACGCCCAACTAGGTATGAACGCCTAAGACTTCCTGGAAAAGGTATGTCATGCGGTCTGAACAGGAAAGCCGCCATGAGCCCCAAAGATCCCAAAGTTCACAAAGTGCTCGAAAGTGCGCGAAAAAGGAAACGAGAGTCGACGAGCGCACATTTGCAGACCTGAATCGTCTTGCAACAGCCTGAGGACCTCTACGAGTGGAGAGTGGCTAGAACATTCGCAAACTGCAGGTACAGGAAGGTGATCAGCCTTCCCTTCCCATCCATGACCGTAGCTTCGTTGCACACGGTGGGCCATGGATGCCGTGCGCCCCTGCTTACATCTAGATTTAAAGCCAGAGCACTGTTCTCGCACGTGTGCTCTCATGTGTGTGCTGTAAGGTGTGGAAATTCACTTGCCCACCTTTGTTTTGTTCTACTTAGCACAGCTTGGGGATCTTGCCAGTATAGTTGTTGCGGTTCAATCCAGCAGCCAGCAGACATGGTTTTGGATTAGACGCTTCAAAAGACTCGAGAAAGTTTCCTGAACAAAACCTGGCATGCTCATCGTGGCTGAAGGACAGTGGCTTGCAGCGTGCAGCTGTGAGAGACATTTCCGTGGGTTCAGGCCGGACGAGACTTGTGGCATCGTTGAAAAGGGGTTGGAAAAAACTGTTGTGCCACATGGCACATGATGAACAAATGCGAGTGTTTTGGCGTATTGTGGCCCAAGGACCTCTGACAGTAGCTTCCGAGTGAAAAGCACTCGGTCAGCATGGAACATCAAACCGAGACATTGGATGAGAGTGGTTACTCTTCCAGTTTTCACTCGATCCACCCAGAGTATCTTTGGCTACCAGTATCTCCATCTGCAGCCAGTACTGCCGTGGAAAGCCACGAGAGCAAAGCTTCAGGTGAGAGTCAAGCGGCTGAGGCAGCTGAGGATACTGAAGCACAGCCAGAGGGAGGACTGGCAGGACGAGACCACGAGGACAAAGGGCCTGCAGCTGCCGCACCTCTCCCGTCCGGCAGTGCAACTTTGCGTCGGGCAAAGGCATTGTCCAAGATAGCACTGGATGAAAGCACTAAGGGAAACTCTAGGAGAGCGTCTCAGGCCTCTCATGTACAGAAATTGCGAGAGGAATGCCAAGCAGCCCGCACCCGGATCCAAGTGAATGTCTCTTCTGTGAGCAAGGCTTTTGAGACTGCTCGCTCCCTTGAAGGTTATCTTGTCCATATTGAAGACTCCAAGAATAGAGTCAAACATGCTCGAAATGCTCGTTGGGCGGACTTGGAAGTATGTCAAGAACGGCTGCAGATCCTAAGCAACCTAGACTGGTCTGAGTTTGAATCTGCAAGCGTCGAAGGCCTGGAACACATGGACCGGATTCCACGTGACCGTGGCCTTCGAAGATCCCTGGCTGAAGCTTTGGAGATTGAGCAGGAGGCTTTGCTGCTATTGCGACGGGAGCTTGGCTCCCTGCTGACCTACCACACAACTGTGGCGGAGGTAGCAGCTGAGTTGCGCGGGAAGCTGCAACAGGAAGCCTCCCAGAGGCGTGCGGCCATGAGAAAAGATCATGTAGCCCTGACACAACCTGGTGAAGGTCAGGAAGTTCAGGACTTCAAAGCCTTTGATGAGGGCAACTTTTGGGTGAAGAAAGCACGATCGCTCGAAGATAGTGCTCAACAGCTGATGCAGAAGTCTGTGTCGACCATCCAATGGACTGATGTCGAATGTGCCAAGGCCAGCCACAGGGTTCAGGAATGTTTGTCACGTTGTTCGGAAGAAGATCAACTCTTGAGGTGGCGGTATGATGCTCAGTTGAAAGATGTCGACTTCGCAATTTCGTGTGCAGACTGGACGGTCAACAAACCCGGGAACAAATCCATGCAGGGTTCTGATCCCAACTTTTCCCAAGTGCAAAGAGCCAATGTACTGCTTCATGAGCTCAACGCGAGCAAGAGGCACCTGAAATCTTTAGTTCGAAAGTGTAAGCGAGATTTGCAGATCCTGGAAGCTTGCAGAAACACCACTCCTTTCACCATTCATCAGAAGCGAAAGGAGAGGAAGGCCAGAAAGGAGGAGAAGTCCATGGAAGTGGAGAAATCCAGGCATTCCGAGATGTCCAGACGCACTACTAGCAGCGAAAGCTCTGGTCGCTTGGGAGGATTGGATGAGTTGCGGCAGCTACAGGCTGAAGAGCGCGAGCTCAAGAGAGAACTACGTGCCTGCGAGACAGGGGTAGAACGCTGTGCTGCATGGGCATCACTGTTGGCAGATTTGGAGGATCGCATTGCCGAGACCTTGCGCCGGTGAAAGAATTGTCATTCCGCGCCGCTGGAAGAATGCACCCTTTCAGTATACAGTATGTACCTTTTTTTGGCCGTAAGCTAGCCGCTTGAGCTAGAGCAGACTCATTAATGTAGATAGATTTGGTCATGAACAACAATGACCTGTGTGTTTTGGACGATGAGGCCACCAGAGCAAGACATTTCCAAAATGCATGCTTCTGGAATTCAGAGCAAGCACTTATGACCATTGAGTTCAGCTCTACAAAAATGAGGGATGCCTTGGGAAGGCAAGGAAGAGCGGACTTTGTCATTAAACTAAACCTTCAGTGGTTCAACTTTGGGTTGCAGAACTGCAGGAACCTGTGGAGCCGGAGGCGATCTGCGGAAACCTGGAACAGGCCCTTAATGCAAACAGAGACCTAGGCATTTGCTGTTTGGTTCTGCATCTGAGGTCTGTTTCAGACAAGGCACAGTGCATCTCTCCTGACGGAGGAAGACAAAACCGTCACCAGGCCGTAAGTTGTTAGGACAGAAGCTACTAGTAACAAGGGCATCGCTACTAGATGCTACTAGTAACAAGAAGCTAACTGGGCCTGTGTTTGTCATCGTCTGTCTACCAGGCTCAGGAGAGTGAGCAAAGAGAAAACAACCAAGGAGACCTTCTTGCGTCAACTCCTGAGAAAACCGCACACCGTTATTACCGTTCTTTTAAATCCTATCTTTTGAGACCACGCATTTCCTCAATCAGCTCGTTCTTCTGGTTCCTGGACCTCGAAGGTCGTGGTTTCGTGGTGAACTTTCGACGGCTCATGGAGCAAGTAACTTGGTTTTTATCGAAGAAGCAACGAGAAGACATTTGCACCAAAGGTTGCAGAAAGTCTTTGCCATCATTCACGAGCTCATCAAGTCAACTGCCATTGCTGATTGGCACTTAGCATACTTCAGTAGAAAAGCCCACACCGTTGCCGTAGTTGCCCACTTCTGTTTGAGTCTCTGACTCCGAGGCACTGACGCTGGTGTTGGCAAGCGATATATGGCAGTTAGGCTACTCAGTTCGGCACTTGGAGCATGCCGACCTGCAAGGTTTCAAGACGTAATGCTACTAGTAGCGATGCCAAGAGCCTCTAGTAGCGTCTTTGCTCCTAGTAG